GAAATACGTAGTCGCCGTGTAAACATTTTTTAAATCTGTTACTTAGAAATAAATTTGTTGTATACTATTACAATAGCAAATGAAATTAAAATTGAAGTACTGGAACATATAAGGAAACATTTTAAAGGGAAAATAATACATTTAGAAATGTACCTGACCACTTTTTATGGGATATTTTAACTCTGAATTCATCATGACTTTTTAGTTTTATAGTTTTTACCAGCTGACAGTTTGAAAACAACCAGTGAACATTCAAATTCATAATTTATTTTTATACAACATAATGGGCCTATAGCGTTCAGAGTGAGGAAAATGAGAATTTGAAATAAACAGACATTACATTTTGGGGGACATGTTGACAGAAATGCTGGCTTTTCCATCATTTTACAAATAGACATCAAGATTGTATTTCCTCAGGAAGTTGGTTAACCTGGTGAATTTTCAATATTCCAGGTCCAAAGTGATACAAAATGAGAGGTCTGATGTTGTCTATGTACACAAAAATCATATTCATTTCAGAGGATTTATTGACAAAGGAAGGGATTTTCAAAAATATACTGCCTAAAGGAAACAAAGATGTAAGGGGATATGCATATTATATTATACATAACATATGTACATACATATGAGATCAGAAGATATGAACATATTTCTAGAATTTTGGGACATTACTACTTTCTTTAACAGTTTTTTCAATGTTTTCCATGTTCCATTTTATGTTAACATATATAATTTGCTTAATTGTGCATCTAAAATGTGAATGGTAGTGTTTTCCTTATTATTTCTTATATTTAATATTTAAATATGTTGCGTGGGTATGGACTAATTTACCCTCAAATAATTTACAAAACATAAGTGAATATTATTCATTACAAAGGACATTATCTATTAGAAATATTTCCACCCTAATCTATGACTTCAAATAATTTCCAAGTAAGAGTTACACTCTAGGACAAGGTAGAATGATCTCATACAATTTCCATAAATCTATGGAGAAGTAGATCCTACGTCTTTCTATCTAGGAACAATTGGTAGATTCAAATCACTGAACACAGGTTGGCAGGTGACTGATTTCACTGTTACTCCCTGAGAACTTCTTAAGTATTTCAAAGTTGTACAGATCCCCATGATAATGAGCAACATTTACTAGTACTGTATTTTGGTGAGGTTTGGGTGTCACTGTTAATTTAGGGACAAGGAAATAAGATATACTGCTCACAGGCTAAAGAATGGGTGCTGAAAGAATAAATGACTTAGTATAGTTGTGTAGATTAAGTAATGACTAACTCAGAATGTAAACCTGGAATGTCAAATTATAAGACAATTGCTGGTAAACCCTGTTATATAGTTAACTGTATAACACATTTAAATGAGGGGTTTGATTTGTAGTATACACTGTTGAATATAACATTGAATATCTGAAATATAAGATCCCACCTAATTTATAATAAAACACTTTTATTAAAGAACTGACAAGTGAAATTGTGTATAATTAGACTGATAATATAGTCACTGTTCTCAGTAAAAACACAATAATTAAAGAGTACATGGTTTTAAGAGAGAAGGATCTAAGAAATACCTAGTAAAAGAAAAAGAAGCTGTGAGATTAAACCCTTACACCACTGTCATATTAACTGGTGCTCTCCCTCTTCTGCAGAAGTCTAATGACAGCCTTTTTCACTTCTTTGTTCCTAAGACTATAAATGAGTGGGTTCAGCATGGGGATCACAATAGTATAAAAAACAGAGGCCACTTGGTCCTTTCCCAAGGAGTAGGAACTCCTTGGTTTTAAATAAGTGAAAATCATGGTACCATAGAAGATGGTGACCCCCAGCAGGTGGGAGGCACAGGTAGAAAAGGCTTTTTGCTTCCCCGATGTGGAATTGATTTTCAGGATAGTAGAGAGAATGGATGCATAGGAAACAGAGATTGTGATAAGAGAAGCCACTAAGGTGGAGCCACCAAGAATGAATATCATGGTCTCAACATCATGTGGGTCTGTGCAGGACAGAGCTAAAATTGGGGTGGTGTCACAGAAAAAGTGATGCACTACATTGGAGTCACAGAAATGCAAGGTGTTCATGTACATCACATTAACAAGGGACTCACTAAAGCCAATCAAATAAGTGACAATGATAAGGGAGCAGCAGAGGGATGGGGACATAATGACTGGGTATTGTAGAGGCTTGCAGATAGCTACATAGCGATCATAGGCCATTGAAGAGAGAAGAAGACATTCCGTGGCACCTAAGAAGACAAAAAAGTACATCTGGGCTAAACAGCCTCTAAATGAAATATGTTTGGTGGAAGCTATTAGGTTTTCTAAGGTTTTAGGGGTAATGACTGATGAGTAGCTGAGATCAATGAATGACAGGTGACTGAGGAAGAAATACATGGGTGTGTGCAACTGGAGGTCCAGGCGGATGATGAGGATCATCCCTGTGTTTCCCAGCACAGTAACCAGGTAGATCAGGAGAAATAGATGAAAGAGGACCAGCCGGAGCTCTTTAGAGTCTGTCAGTCCCAAAAGGATGAAGTCAGACACCATAGTGTTGTTCCTTCTATCCATAGTTTGTAACTTCCCTGAATTATAGAAGAAAGTTGATATTTAACATTAGTAACTTAAGGCAGGTTTTGTTTGGAGTTTTCTAGAAATTGATTTTAAAATTTCTGTAAATTGTTAAACCTAATCTAATTTTATTGTCTTTTTTAAATGGGTATTAAATAGTATTGAATAAGAAAATTATTTGTTTGTTATAATTGTCAAATAAAAAGGAGCAACTATTATACTATTAGAATGAAACTACCAGTATCACTAATGCTTCACTTTATTAACACCTTTAATCCCCAGGATATATCTTACCATAAGCTATACTTCCATACATATTTTTAAGTAAAGACCAGGTATTCTAGTTTAAGCAAATTATTCAAACACGCAGTCACTGTTGGCTAAATGATACTACTATGGATGCATTATTACAAAGAGAGCTCATGATTCGTTTTCTTTGTTATCATTAGGTTCAAAATCATGAGAAAAAGTATGGTGCACAGTAAGCAATGCCAGAAACTCATTTGTAATGCACCTTTCCTTCCCATTGTGTCCTATGCTAGTTAATATCTGTTGTAGTTTTGCATTGGACTCCTAATTACAAGATCAGCAGTTTGAAACCACGAGTCATTCTTGGGCAGAAAGACTAGATTTTCTGTTCCTGCAGTCTCGGAGGCCCACAGGGTCAGTTTTTTCTGGTCTCATAGGGCTGCGATGAGTGGGGATCAACTGACATATTAGATACATCAACCTTTCGGGTCTTTATTAAAATACTAGACCACAGACTATGTATTTCAATGATGAATTTTGATTTCTTAATTTTTAAATTCAAAATCAAATCCTTGTCAATTTTATTTATTTATTTATTATACAAAATATGAACATTTTTGATATACTCTTGAGTCCATCAACTCTATATATCTGTCTGCACAAAATCTGCCTCTGCCAAGAGCAAGGTTAAGAGTTATACACACATACATACACATACATATACATATGGTGAGAAAGAAAGAAAACTCATATACACATCTTTTCACAGTGTCTCAGTATTATCAGCTCTAGCCTAAACCTAGTGAAAATGTACTGCTATCAGTTGACTCAGACCTATACGGACTCCTGAGGATTTTTTTCCAGTGGAGCAGCTGGTGAGCTCAAGCTCCTGATCTTTTGGCTAACAGTTGAGCACTTCACCCCTGAGTCGGCCGACTCTCTTTGATCCAACCCTACATCCTCCAATTTTGAGAATGAGACTTACCATGAGCCAAAGTAAAGGACACACATTTTCTTCTTAAATGAGCTATCTAAATTTTGATTGAGGTTAAATATTTCTTCCAAATAAAATATATAAAGCAATTAAGGAGATCAAATGTTCCATGATAGAATAATATGTTCCTTTCAAATGCATTAATTCTGCATTTTGTACAAGCATTTTTCCTGAAATAGCATAAATTAAATTTCAACTATTACTCAGTTGCTAGTCGAATGTGAAGTCCACCAGTA